AGAGACAGCCATGGGAAGTGGGGAAAGAGGGGGTGAACCAGCCACCTGAGATGGAAGTGGGGACCCACAGGCCTAGTCTTCCTGAGTCTTCTGAGTTGTGTAAAGGAAGTTAGCGGATTGGTGAGATGGCTCAAAAGGTAAAGGCACTTACCGTCACACCTGGTAGTCTGTATTCAATTCCCCCGTCCCAAGGGATGAGAGAATCAGCTCTCACAAGCTGTCTTCTAACACCCCCCCACCTACACACACAATGGTGTGCACACACCTTCCCACATACAAAAGAAGAAAATGTAAAAAAAAAAAAGTTGTATTTTAGGAAAGACAGAGCTAAGGAATACCTCCTCATACACATACACACCACTGCCACCACCATCAACAGCAACAGCAAAACAAAAAACAAGAACAAAACACAACCACATTCACTTTCAGCTAATGAGGTATCACTTCCTCAAACCCCTAAGTTCCAACAGAGGGGAAAACACTACAAAATATTTTGGCCATGCATAAAGTTACACTGCCAGTCAGCTACGAGGCTAAAGGCTTTGGCACCTGTGCTCTGCACAGTTAACCCAATCCTGCCAGGAATGGTGATCCACCTGTAACCATGGCACCGGGGATGCTGAGCCAGGAGGACTGTGCATGAAAGGCCAGCTTGGGCTCTATGTGGTCAACCTGAGCTCTGTGGGGGCAGCCTGGGCTCTGTGGGGGCAGCCTGGACTCTGCAGGGGCAGCCTGGGCTCTGCGGGGCAACTCTGTCCTTCGAACAAACAGCAACAATAACACAAAGAACTCACAGATGGCCACCCACACTAGCAGTTTTCCAGCAGACACCCAGCAGACTATTGCTTTCTCTCTACACTCTCAGAAGCCAGAGAAGGGGCTGCCAAATAGAGTGTCCACAGTCTCTGCTCAGCTGTCTCATTAGCACAGATGTCCTAGGGAATTTCAGGAGAAGCAACGTTGTAAATCTGAACCAGCATGGCGCTACTTCAAACTTACCAGCTAAAAAGAGGCTTCTCGAAGCAAGCCTCCACGCTTTATACGATAAACAGTGTGATTGACCCACTAAAGCAGTAAGCCAGAATTAGGACGGTGTTTAGACTTATCAAATTGTCTCCATAAAATTTATCTCCATAAACCACAGATAATTCTGTTCTCAGTATGTTATCTGTCTTAGTTATGGTTATTATTGCTGTGATGAAACACAATGACCAAAAGCAACCTGGGGAGGAAAGGGTTTATTTGGCTTACATATCCTGAATCATAGTCCATTGAGGGAAGCCAATACAGGAACCAAGCAGGTCAGGAACCTGGAGGCAGGAGCTGATGCAGAGACCATGGAGGGGTGCTGCTTACTGGCTTGCTCCCCATGGCTTGCTCAGCCTGCTTTATTATACCACCCAGGTCCACAGCCTGTGTATCACTACCCACAATAGGCTGATCCCTCCCACATCAATCATTAATTAAGAAAATACTCTACAGGCTTGCCTGCAACCAATCTTAAGGAGGCATTTTCTCAACTGAGGCTCCCTCCCTCAGATGATAGCCTAGTCAAGCCGGCAGGTGGTCTTTGTTTTCAAGGTGGCTAAGGCTAGGCCCCATTTATCACACATCTTTATCCATAGCTGTGGAGGAAAGAAAACCTACTCCCATCATTCTCCTAAAAATGAGGAATCATTTTCTCAAGACCTTTAGCAAACTTGTCCCCACAGATCCAAAACCGGGCCACTTTTCTGTTCTCCACTCAAGTGTCAGGAAACGTTACAGAATTAGCGCAACTCAACCGGTGAAAAAGAAAAAAAAAAAAAAAAGTCTTGTTTCCAAGACAACCAGGATGAAACTGGAGAGCAACACATTCATGAGTTTGGGCACAGAAGGGCAAACACTACACATTGCTGGCCAGAAAGCAGAGAGAGAAAGAGGAAGGCTGGGAGGACCAGATTCGGCAAACACAGAAGGCACATCCTCCGTGACCCACGTTCTCCTAATCCTCATCAGGACCCAAGAGCATCATCAGATGTTAACACTGTCAGTGGATTCACCCCGCAATGGAGTCAGAGGTTTCATGACCTAATCACATCCCAGTGAGTGAAGCCTCAAGGTGGGCCAAGCCTCAGCACTTGACTGGGAGAGACACTTCATATTCAAAAGACAGTGTGTGTTTTTCCTTACAGGTAGAATTCTAGCTAATTGAATGTCTTT